GGGCCGTCTACTGAGTGAGCCGTGCCAGCTCCTAGCCCCCTCCCCTGTAAACGCCCCGGCACCACGCCAGTCTTGCCAGGCACAGGAGTAAACACGGAACCCTCTGCTAGTCACCCCCCTGCCAGCCTATTGCCTGGTAGCACACTAGGGAAGTGACCCATGGCTGAAAGTTTAACTGGCAGTATGCCTAGAGGAGGAAGCTTATTCAACATCATCGTTAAACTCCTGATAGAGATCCTGTTCTGCTATTTGATAGGGTTGAAAGCCATTTGGGTCTACCTACATGAGCAAGGGAGCCCTTTTCAGCACTAACTGAAGCCAGGAAATGTGTTGTGGTTAGATACTGTCAGCAACATATATTTTCCTAGAGTAGATGAGGCCTTTAGCTCCCTTACTCCTCCTTGTGCTCTTCTTAATATTTGTTCATATTTAGACATCTTGAAGTTGTACATTAGATGCAGTGAAGCTTGAGAACCCCTAAATGAGTCTTAATTTGGTGAATATTTATTTGCTTTCACATTTCCTTTGGCATTGTTATTGAGTTGAAATCTGTAAATAGCCCTCAGCAGAATAGGTCATATACTATATAAGCCACGTCCCTGACCAGAAAGGTATTTGGACCTAGATCTGATCTGTGCCCTGAGTGTCAGGAGGTACTTATAAACCCTGCACACAGAAAACTACAAGCCTCCACTTTTTGTTGTTAATAAATTTGCTAAAACTAAGGTATGAGAATGAAGTCCCATTAACAGAAATAAAGTATTGAAATACACCCAGTCATTGGGCTGGAAGCGGCACTAGCCAACCACTTTAACCATTCATTTAAAAAAAAGTTCCTGAAATCCTTTTGACACCAAACATTACTTCACAACCCCAGCAGCAGGGACTGAAGCCTGAGATTTCCCAAGCCTCACTGTAGGGCGGAGGGTGGGGGCGGAGAAGCAGGAGTGAGCCTGAGCCCACTGCTCAGGGCAAGGGGGCCAAAGCCCTTGAGCTTTGGGACTTCTACTGTCCAAGGCTGAAGTCCTTAGGCTTTGGTTTCAGCCCCGGGATCCAATGAGTTTAAGCCATCCCTGGTGACCCCATTCAAAGGGGGTCACAACTAGGGATGTAATAACCTTTAACCAATAAACAAAAGTTTATAAGTTAATGCTATAGACTACATGCATTTCCCTCTTCCCCCTCTCCCTGCCAGTAAATTTTTTAGCAGGCTGGCTCAGTCCTGACTTGTGATCCCCTGCCAGTAAATTTTTTAGCAGTCTGGCTCAGTCCTGACTTGCGATCGGTCTGGGACCTACCCCTACTGCCGCTCTGCATTTAAAATGTATTAGGAGCTGGGTGGGCAGGCAGCCTAGATCATGCTGGGTCTGGGACCTATTCCAGTTTCAGCTCTGCATTTCAAGTGTATGAAGAGCCCGATGGGCAGGCAGCCCGGCTCAATTCCAACTCGTGTCGGGTCCAGGAGCTTATAGCCACCCTAAACAGGGACTGCTGCCACCCTGTGCTGTTGCCTCTTTCTCAGAAGCAGCAGCACAAGGCAACAGGCATCCAGTCCGCAAGCTCCCCCCTGGCCCCCTGCCCTGCTGCCTCTGATACAGTGGCTGCTGGTCCCACTCCTGGGGACTATAGAATAGTCAACTAACTGATAAAATTTCATTAGGTTACTCGACTATTCAATTAACCGATATTTAACATCCCTAGTCACTATCCACTTAGGGGACCTGACCTACTGTTGAGAACCGCTGTATTAATTCATTTTCAGTAAAAAGCTGCAGGTTTGAGATACAATCCTGCAAACTCTTACTCACAAAAATAACTTGTGTTAATAGAAGCAGTTAATCCTGAGTAAAGTTAGTCACAGGTATATTTACATAATGGCAACCTACTACCTTCAGTGTTTTTTGTTTTGTTTCACTTTCCTAGCTAATTTTTGTCAAATCTTTTCTCTGTTCACCTGAGAGTCATGAGATCTTTGGAAATAAATCTTTCATTTATACAAATGAAACCATGAACTACTAAATGCTTCTAATTTGGCTTTTAAAAATGAAAGTAAAAGACTACTGCCCAGAGAGAACTGCTTAGTCATGTCAAGCATGTGAGTCAAAAGAGAAAATGAAACTGCTTGAATAGCTCCTCATAGAAGCGTGGCTGCCACTTAAAAAAGCATTTGTGGCCTGTCAGGTCCCTTTAAATTTTTTCATTCTATTGTAAGGCTGTTCATGTGAACTCGTGGGTAACATGAAGTCCTACTCAAATTAATTTGAGATTTTTAATTGACTTCACTGGGAGCAAGATGAGTGTTCATGCCCCTACAAACTCTTAGGGAGGTGAATAGTCCTGTTGAACTAAACAGGACTACTCACTTGCCTACAGTTGTTGACATTCATAAGTGTTTAACATTTCAAAAATAGTATTTTTTCTCCCAGAGAGAGCGAAGAATATTGCAGCAGTTGGAGGAGGAATCAAAATGCAAATAGATGGGACCAAAATCTTAAAAATAAATAACAAATAAGAAACTCCCTCAAAGTAGTAGGAGTAGTAGGAAAATTAGTAATAATATGGATTATTTTCCCTTTCTTGTATGGGACAAAACTTGTAAATTCTGCAAGTCTTTGAACTGTAGAACCTATGAAGTTCTAAATTATTTTTCTGGATACTACTAGAGTTTGAAAAAACATACATGATTGCCAGTTGCAAGGAAGATATACTTAATAACTAGCATTAACCATTCATTTTAAATAGTTCCTAGATTCCAAAATCTTCCAAGTGAGAGCCAGTGTAATCTGTTTTCTTAAGTCGGTAGAAGGAGAACGCTAGTGCCTTTGCTCATAGCTTTCTCAAGGATCAACTGACTGATAAGACTGGGGTCTATTTTGTTGCTGCTGTCAGAAGGTGGAAAGAAGTGAAGATGAAAAGAATTTGTTTAGTTTCACCTTGTAGATGATTTGGAAAGTTATGATGAGCACAGACAATAGAGATGTTAATGGAAGGAGGAAGACCCCACACAACAAATGGATTCAAAGAAATGAGAAGGGTATTAGATATTCCTGCTCCCCCTGTGGCAGCAACCAGAAGACTGTGGAAGGTGTAGAATATCAGAGATCCTCCCCTCCTTTTTTTAGGAGCATCAGAGGCTATAGTAGAACATCAGAGTTACAAACACCAGAGTTATGAACTGACCAGTCAATCTGCATACCTCATTTGGAGTTGGAAGTATTCAGTCAGGCAGCAGCAAAGACAAAACAGAATAAATAAAAAATGAATCTACTAAAAAAAGAGGGAAAACTTAACTAAAAGACTTGACAAGGTAAGGACATTGCTTCTGTGCTTGTTTCATTTAAATTAATATGGTTAAAAACAGAATTTTTCTTCTGCATAGTAAAATTTCAAAGCTGTATTAAGTCATTGTTCATTTGTAAACTTTTGAAAGAACCAAACTAAGAGATTGGGCAAAAAATGGCAAATGAAATATAATGTTGGTAAATGTAAAGTACAGGCAGTCCCCGGGTTACGTCAGTCTGACTTAAGTCGGACTCCTAGTTACGAACGGGGGGGGACCCCCGCTGGGGCCGGGGGG